CGAGTGGTTTGTGTAGACCTCGTGTAGGTTGCCTTCTTTTTTTTTTTTATCATACTTATTATGTATAATTGCATATCATTATCACAATGGTTATGTAACCAGTGAACGTGTTTGATGCAGAAACAATGGGTGGTTGACCATATAACTAAGCTTGCGGAAAGTGGTACCACAACAATTGTAAACCAATGGAAGACATCGATGGCACATTAGAGTTAGTGATGAATTACCCTTAACAAAAACCTGATACATAAGTGTTTATGAATCACACCAAAATTTCACCTTCCAGTCCGCCCTCCTCCCCCCGGGTTAACTGTGATTTATGTTTTGTGAAACTTTCACCTTTAACACCCAATTACTATGGCGATACAGGTCTGAATGTGTGATGTTGGTATGCTTCATCATGCAACAGTATGTGCACATGGTCGACATTGATACAACAATGAACGGGCTGATGCCGCCTATCTACCGTACGACAATGGTGAAAACATTCATAAACAACCTGAAGAGATGGCTGGTTTCTAGGGTGCTATGATGGTGCAATGCCAACACTCTCCTCCACCAATCTTAACGTGTCTACGTATTTATTTATTTTTTTGTTGGTTTTATTTGGACGATGGAATTTGAGTGGTAACAACATTATTGCTTAATGTTATGGATTGTTCTTATGGAACTTATTTGTGAATGACACTAGAACTGTTAGGTGGTTTTGGCTTAATGTTTCTCAAGTTTAGAGACGATTAATTTTGTTGAGGCACAATGTTTGGGTGGTTGATCATAATTTTGTTTTTTGCATACACAGTTATGAACCTTTTTTGTGGACAATGCATGGATATGGTTAAATATAAATTTTTAGATTGCACAGTGCACCTGCTAATTGGTAGTAATGGAACTTGATAAATTGCACACCAAACTTTTTGATTGACATCAGAACGCCAACGCAGGGAATGGCCTGGATGATGATATGCACCCGTCATGTACAAAGTGGGACGTACTGTCAGTGCAACGTTACTTAAGTTCACGTGGGTTAGATCATGATATTTCACATCCTGATAATGTGTTGTTCTCTTGTCATGTTGTTTTGTTGAAAAGTTTGGCCGATGTTGTGAAATGTGACCCAACCACACCAAACAACCACTTTGGACAGAAGAGAGGGCCCAATTACACAGTTGAAACACAAGAATAATGGAAATCGGTCAAAATACTCCAAATGTACCATGTAACAATAAATATGAATGACAATCTACAAAATCAATTCTGGTGTGAAAATCAACCCACCCAATTAACAATGGCTTGCCATAGTAAATTAGAGTATATACATACGACGTATGCACATGATACAACAATAACATGTGAACAATATATCAACAACTAATGTATTATTGGTAAATTAACTACAACTATTGAATATGAAGATATTATTGATAGTTATTTATAAGGTTAACGTGCGCTATTGCACCATTAACGTAGACAAACATAATGTAGATATTTAAAAAGTGTTTTGCGAATTTAACAAGAGAATGCCAAAATTTGAAATGCACCATAACTATATCGATTCCTTACATGTCTTCCTATTATGGTTACCCATTTTCCACAATGGCTACAATGAATGCGTTGCACCATCTCACCCCTCGATAGAATTCTACTACGTTTAGGCCTCCCTGGTGGGCACTTAACAATAGATGGAGCTATGAGATAGTCGGTAGGCATGAATGTCGGCTTCTCAACTATTAGAATAGGAAAAATTGACTCAAAGTACAATGCTCTAAACTCCTTAACATGGTAGTATGGTTCAATCGAGTCATAAATGTTCCTTCCACTATTACAGAATGAAACCACCGCCTGCGAACACAGAAACCCATTCAATTGCCATTGGCAACACAAGCATATACGCCTACTAACATCAACTAATACCGACAAGTGCGAATGCACCTCATACACATTATCATCAGCCTAACTTACAATCCAAGCTCTACTAATTTTTTATGTAGCCTTCAATTCCTTCTCCGTCTTCAGACAAATCTCGCCAACCCAATTGCTAGATTTTGCCCTACGCTTTGACCTTTGTTCCATGATTTGACCTCTAATGGCATCAACCAATTGCGTAATGAAAGATGACGTGCTTTGCCAATCCAATTGTTGAAAGACTTAGCAGCGTTTAACCACATCTCATCGTACTGACAATCCCTGCACAAGCCCGACGTAACCAAATTAGAAAATACCTATAACATATAACAAATAAACGTACATACAGTAAACCAACCCAAAAAATTTGAATAGACCCATGACATTTACATACTGAAAATGCGCATTAGTCCAATGTTTTGGGTGCAAATCTTTTAAGAACTCTCCGACAATAGTTGGACTATAAAGTCTCAACGCCTCAATTTTCTAGTTGAAAGATGTGAAAGTAGGTGCGCAAGCACATTCATGTAGCTTCGCATCAAACCAATTTTGTGCTCGGCGTTGACATATTTCATTCGGTCCCTTAGATTCATTTGAATATGTAACAGGTAGAATGTGTGATGTGCCGACAGGAAAATGTGCGACATGGATTGTAAAAGTCCAATGTGGTGGTCCGAAACAAATGTCAAGGTTTGATTGCGATCAACACCTTCGACAAATGACAAAGAAACCACTCCCAATTAGCTACATTTTCGGAATCAACAATCGCAAACGCAATGGGGAACAACCCTATTAACATTTACAAAAAACGAGAACAACAAAATCAAAACACACTTCACATCGCCATGTTGAATGCACTAAGAAACACACAAACACACCACACAGGTTATGCAACTTGGGCTGCAGAAATTTACTGAAACAATAAAAATGTTCGCTTACAAACACAACATCTATTACCTTAGTTCTTATCCTTGCCAGTAGCTACAAGCAAATTACGGTTGAACCTGCCCTTCAGAAATGTACCATCCAGAAACAACAACGGGCGACAATTCTTAAACCCATTTATACACGCACGAAACGATATGAAATATCTAACAAACGTACCGATTCCCTGATCGAAATCAAGATTTATGTAATTGTTTGGGTTGCTTTTCATAACCGCATCGCTATACCACCTAAGTTGGTCGAACAATACAGCATGATCGCCATATACTTCACCTCTCGCTTTCTCAACCCCAAACCCGATAACTAATATCCACCCCGTAATCATTTTTCAAATCGAAAACGACTTTGCTTAGGCGTGTCAATGGTTGAGCGCGAACACGATCCGCAACAACATTGGCCACCAAATCGGACCTAGTACGTGGGTTCTTGGTCGTATGTACAACAGCCTCACACGTGTGCAAGCTATTAAATCTCTTCACACAAAAATTCCTATTCGATGCTAACACCCTCGTATGTACTATCCACGTACAACCCGTTGAATCTACAAATTTACGCATAGTTGTAACACGGATCGAATCATTTTTCACATATTTAAACTGAAATCCACATTTGACAGTGTACTTAGAAAGCATCGTCCGAAATTCGTTTGCGTCACTCATAAAAACCTGACCCATATTTGTAACACCTTATGCCCACCTAGCTGACAAAAACGATTTTGATCTATGCGTGCAATATGACGGTAACAGATCTGTCCGGTCATCAAAATCGGACATCGCCTGCTCCCACTATCCCCGTGAAAACACCCTTACTGTTGTTAACACCGGCAATAAGATCGCATTTTTTAATAAGCACGTCGATATGATCGAGGCCAAAAGACTTGGCAAGACACCACATGTTCCGAACATCCTCATAGAAAACAACCATGAACTTATTATAACCAAGAATAGCGAACAATAATAACACCATTTTGGGTGCCAACCTATCAAACTTCCCACATATCTCATCAACTAATTGCGCAAATGTCAATGCTTGATGAAGGTGAACAACATCGTTTGTTTTGTTGTAGGTACACAATAATAAAATAGAGACCTCCATGCCTATAAAACGCACAAAAATCTTAGGTTGCGTTTGGTAGAGTTTTGTAAATATATTTTGAGAGTATGAGTTATATTTTGAGTTTGTGAGTTGTAAAATTATGATTTGAGTATAGAAAATTTGTTTGGTTATGGTTTTTGAATAGAGTGTTGAATTGAGTTTTGAATTGAGTGTGGAATTAAGTTTTGAAAATTTGATTTGACATGCGAAGTAAGAAAATTTGTTTGATTATGTGTTTTGGAAAAAAATTTCAAAACTTAATTTAAATTGTTTTAACTCATAACAAAACATACTATTTTCACACTATTGAAAATTCTAATCAACACTCATAACCAAACTCTTTTTAAAATTCAATTAAAAAAATTTATTATTAACAGAAAATAACATTAATCAATTTTTTAATTGAAAATATTACAAAGGAAATAAATTTTTTTCAAAATAAATATTCAAAAAATTTAAATCATAAATATTTAAATAATTTAAATAATCTAAAAAATTTAATAAGTAAAAAATTAAAATAAATATTCAAAAAATTTAAATCATAAATATTTAAATAATTTAAATAATCTAAAAAATTTAATAAGTAAAAAATTAAAATAAATATTCAAAAAATTTAAATCATAAATATTTAAATAATTTAAATAATCTAAAAAATTTAATAAGTAAAAAATTAAAATAAATATTCAAAAAATTTAAATCCATGATTCATTCAACAATCATCACGCCCACAAGGTGTATGTAGAAAGACATTTCAAACCATACATTTCAACCTCAAAGTTAAGCAATTATCCTCAATTTCATGTTCCAAGAATCAATTGAACAAAACCCTTTTTTTTTTAAAAAGTTTCAAAACTAGGGTTTATAAAAAATTAGGGGTTTCCCCTCTTTCATGAATTAGAGGTCAAATTTCTTCACCAACAACAATAATCATCAAAGATAAACATAATTTCATCCATAATCATTAATCATTACTCATATCTCTCTAGATCATTTGGTAGCAAACACAATCTATATATACATACAAATACACACACACACACACATCTATATATATATATATATATATATGCAATTTGTATAGATCAAAAAGAAAGTAGAGAAACGAAACATACCTTGAAGATCGGCGATCTCGCAGTGACAGTGAGGAACAGAACAGAGCTCAAGAGGAGAATCAAACAACAGAACAGCAATTTCTGAAGGCACATGCACAAATACCCAATAAATATCTTATATTTGATTCAAAACTGTGGGCCTTTCATTTGGGATTCAAATTCCCAATAAATAACCCACATACTCTGCATTCTTTCCCATAACAGAATCAACTATAAAGTAGGTAAGATTCAAATTTTGTTCACTCAGATTCAGAATATGGTATCCACAAACCTAATATATGTATGTAAAGACAAACAAAAACAAATATATGTCAACATTTATATATATTATAGATGCAACACAGATAAACTACAAAAGGGAAAATCAGATAAACTACAAATTTGTCTATCACTACAACTAGATTTTCATTAAAAAGAAGAAATATAGGAGAGAGTGAAAAACATTCCAAAGCACTTACAGCAAATCTCAGAAGAAGACATGATTTTCCAACTCCAGAATCTCCAATCAGCAAAAGCTTGAACAAGTAGTCATTGCAAATGACAAAAGGAATAATAACCTTTTCATTTTAAACTCAGCTGAAAAATTACAAAATACTTAACGAGGAAATACACCTTCAACATTTAATTGAATAATATAGGCCTATGGTAAATATAAAAAAAAGAGTAATCATTTTCCACAAAACAGATATTTCCTGTAGTGAAAGAATGCTCATTCATTAATGCAAAAGCAAATATACTAACATAAAAAAATATACTGAGCTCCAAAAGCAACCATAAGTTACTTATTTAGCAGTAGTACCAACATAAATGTGCAATGTCAATGAGGTAGTGCAATGGAAAAGTTGATGGTCAAATGCACCTGAATATATCACATATCATTTTCACTCTCCTTCTCCAGCTGAGTCTCTTTTTCAGCCCACTCACATGGATTAAATGATACAATGATCCCATTTCCACGTATTCAGTCACCATGGACAGCTGAGGAGGCTTTGTGCAGTCACCAAGGAATAAAATAACTGCAAAAAAAATGTATTATTTTCTTCATATCACTACACTACAATTATTCCAAGTTTCAGCACTTTTTGTCCATCCCCATTCCCACACCGTGACCGGTGGTGGAAGCTCCCGACGCTGCAAATCATACGCTGCCAATAGTTCTTCAACGCTTCCAAGAGGAACTAGAGACTGCAAAAGGCATACCCACAACCTCCAGTCAGAACAAAATAAATAAATAAAATATGGCACATCAGTAAAGACAAGATCTTATTAGTTCAACATTATAACTAGCATTCCACATTAGTTCCATGTTTTAAATATAAATGTCCAAAGTCAGACCTGTCAAGCTTCAAGATTTGAGACTGCCATCGCTCCAACGTATGGAAGACTTTCAATCACAGCATCAGCCAAATCTGAAATGAAAGTGGCACATCAGCCAAAATGAGAAAGATATAATACATATAAAAAGAGTCCTTGCAATACCTGCAGCCATGTTAGGCTAACCTACACCGCAAGACTGGAGGTGGACAGTACTTTCCACAATGCCATTGTACCAAGTCACAGCTACACTCTAATTAAGAACCAAGAAACAATGAGAATGGAGAAAGAGGTAATTTGCACTGTAGTATTTGAATGAGGCAAGAATTTAATCCAATAAGAGAGATCAATTCTTGTTGCATTCTGTTTCAAACATGAATTGCTCTAAGGAAGTTTCTAATTGTTTAATAGTTGACAAGAAACCAATTTCTTTTGAAGCTTTGTCTTTTGGGAAGTACCAATTTCTTGAAGAACTGAAAACATATATGAATCTATTCATCAGATCAAAATACCTCATTCGCAAAAATCTGACATGACATCATGGAAGAAAACCACTGTAAATATATGTAATAGTAAAATTACTCCAAACAGAACATCATCTTTGCCCGATTCACACTTCACCACACAGTACTCAAACAATGCTACATAAAGAGCTTAACAAACTTCATTGAAACTACTTCATCCCAAAAGGAGGATAATTATTTATGTATGTAAAAATGTCACAGCAGAAACATACCGTAAAAGTGTGTGGTAATCACACTGTGTTTCCCTGGCAGATGGCCCTTGAGCAAAAGCAATTCACGGAAAGATTGAACAATTTGATCATCTTTTGGATCACGAGCTTCTTTGGGAACTGCTAGCAAGCTTTGGCTCTTTCTAATTCTCTTTAGCGAATCCCGAATCTTGAGTGGGTAAGTCAACATGGACTTGCAATTTAAGTTTAATGAAGACAATTTCTGTCCATATCTTCTTTCTCTCCCGCCCACAATGAAAACGGCAGTGCATCAAACTTCAAACAATAGTACAGGGTAATGAAGCAAACAAATCCTCACTCATAAGAACTTCATATCTTCTGGGGCCTCTCATCTGGTTGTTTTCCTCTGTTTCAGTGAAGAACTTCACCTCTCTCTCCTAACAGACAAAGGGGTAAAACACATCACCCATAGAAAATTCAATTGATCAAATCTATATAAATGAGCCAAAAAGCCACAACCAAGTTAAAAGAGTGAAAAGTTTAGTGGCAGTACCATATTCTCATTGAAGCTCAATATTGAAGCTACATTACCACAGCGATAACAATAATTTGGAGCAGACCATACCTGATAAGCCAAGAAGCACACAGTAAAATTAATTAAAATATCACCAAATCTGAAGTGATGTTATATACACTAGTCATGTTACATAGACTCAAGTCCCCCTATCAAGTGTGGATATTATACATCTAAACTCCCAAATTTCTTGGCATGTTTCTCTTATTTCTCAAGGCAGAATACTGACTTTATGTAAGACAATGTAAAAGCAACAGAAAATGAAAAAATAAAAGACAATTTCTTAGTATTCGTGTTTTATTTCCTAAGGTGGAATGGTGACTTTTCTTCAAGATGGCACTTCACTTGCTCTAAAGCAATCATGTCACCAAGAAACATAATAAGGGAGGTCTATCAATTAATTACACAGTAAATTTGCATAACTAAACATGCTTGTTGGGCCCAGTTTTGACTGGACATGTCGGACACACAGCCCATATCCTTACTCCAGCCATATGTTTAGAAATGTCCATGTAACATAATACACTGAGTTAAAGACTTCACAACTCATAGTTACAAGGCCTTTATCTTGAAACATGTATTTAAGACCTTCATGCACAAGTTAATCTGCACAAAGGGGGATTCATTAGCGGAAATAAGGAAATTTAAAATTGTAATTTTCCAACCAACAAATTACTATATACATCAGAAATTAAAAACTGAGGTGATGCAGTTGGTCAAGATGGATCCTACCATTCAAGATCAATGCATGTAAGCTCAAAAGAGATTTGACCTCATCCATTGATTTAAGCTTATTTTTGCCAGCATTCAGCACCTGCTTCACAAGAACTAGAATAAATTAAATTTGGAAAGTGTCAATTTAGTTTTAATAATTTAAAAACTAAACCAGTGAAAAAGACCACTCTATCAAATTGATTGAACAATCAAAATCAAAAGAGCAGTTTTCCTTCAATATTTGTTGATTATGTAGTAATAGTAGTATATTGAACTCAATTTTGCTTACTTCGAAACATAACAGAATTTCAACCTTTGTAAACACAAAAGGTAAATATAACAGAAAGGTAATATTAGCAACATACTCAAGCAAAACATTCAATTGCTTCTATTAGCAGTTTTCCTTCATATATTCAATTGACACCTACAAGAATGAACAGAAGTTATGCCAATGCAGAATTCAAATGTGAGAATCTGAAAAAAGTTCCATAAGCATATCTCACCTTCAGCTATGTCCTCTCACCTCACCCAACATTCTGTCAGGTGCTCAAGCACTGTTCATGTGAATGGTTGAAATCCAATTCTCCACATGCTTGCCATTATGGCAATTCAGATGTGAAGTTTTTATATCTCTGTCAATCTACTTCTTTTGAGAAGGAGATAGGAGCTGGGTCCACAATCTAGCTAACAAAGGGATGATTCCTCAACCACAAGGTTGGTGAACACCTTATAATCCTTCTATTGGCCATCTTTATACCCTGTTGAACTAGTTTGCCATTGTCTTTGCACCCTATTGAGTTTAAATTTGCCTCTGATAAGGATTGTCTTCCCTCATTTCTCCCCCCTCCCTCCCTCTTTTTCGCTCATCTTGCAAAGCATGCCTCATTCTTAAAAAGGGACATTGACTATCTAGGGCATTCTATAGTTGACAAAATAAAAATGAACTAATCTCTGATCTAAACAAAATTGAACTGGACTTTGTACTAAAAACATGAAAGGTATTGAGAGAGAGAGAGAGAAATAGAAATGAACACCACATTTAACCTCTTAAAAGAAACAGAAGGCAAGAAAAACAAAAGCAAAAACAAAAACACAACTCTCTCTCTCTCTCTCTTGTTCTTTCTCTCTTCAAGCATTTTTTTGTTCAGCAGCTGAAACAAGAACAAATATATAAATATACAAATCTTGGATATGTGGATATACATACATATATATATATATATATAGCTTTCAATGTACGCTGGAGTAGCAGCAGAAGAGTTGAGGAATTGGACAACCAATAGGCTAAGATGTCATTATTATCCTAGGTCTTTAATCCAAATAATAATACTTAGTTATGAGAAGACAATTATGACAAAAAGCGAAAACAAGACACACTAGTAGCATATAGGATTAGATTATTCAATACAAGTCTGGAAGTCCCTAAACCTTGACTTCCATTTGCTTGTGAGCTAAGATTTTAAAACATACTATAATTGGACCCATTTATGGTTAGATTTCAAACTCGAACTTTAATTTGCCCAAACTGCCTAATTAACACCCCAATTGTGCCCTTCTAAAAAAAAACCACACACTTCAACTGTGTATCTGTACTCCCAAAATTTGTAATGATAGTCCTCTCTTCAAACTTTTGTTTTCATATGTTGCTAATGACACTCAGCTTCCTATACATATTTATGCAAGGAATTTCCATCCATCAAACAATGCACAAAATCTTAAATGAGAAATGTCCCAAGAAAGTATTCCAAGCATACACCAATTACCAGTAAAAAGCAAGTCTCCATTGGAGCTCTATAGCTTGACTAAAGATACCTCAGACTATGCTTGGTACAACACCAGGTAATCATATCTTACTCAACTTTCACAATTTTCTTTCTAAACTTTCCACAGATCTGACATGTTTTTTGAATTCATCTTGTAGTATACGTTTTGATTGCCATGACTTACCAATGCGTTCTGATATTAACCCAGTCCTACAAATAGCAAACCTTGGCCACCAATGGTTGCATTTGTAAATGGTGAATATATAGGTAATTACATGAACAGAGGCAAACAAATGTTTGTTTTGTAGCTCAGTGATCTAATATGTATTTCCAGCATATTGATTCACAATTACGGTTAAATTTTTGTTGAACTATCATCTTTTTTGGCCCAATATTGTGTCCTATTTATCCAAATTGTCGTATGAAAATTAGTGTAGAAGTTTCTTTCAGTTCAAAAAAGAACCTAACAGATCAATTCAACAATTCAACAAACACACATATTGATGTATACAAATGTTATACATGCAGTAAAATTCGAAAGAAATAGAGAGAGAGAGAGAGAGAGTATCGATTAAAGTTCAGTAAATGAGGATCAAGTCAGAATGCCTCTCTCTGAATCTCTGCAAATGAGGTTCAAGTAAGAATGCCTTCAAAACATTGATTTCATAGATCTAGAGAGAGAGAGAGAGAGAGACGGTGGAGCTCGCTATCTCGCCAGTGCAAGTGACGGTGGCGATGGAGCTTCCAAATCGCTTTGAATCTCGAAATCGATATGAATCTTCGAAATCGCTTCGAAATCGCTCTGAATCTTTGAAATCACAGGTGCAGATGGAGCTTTGATGAAGAAATGTGTGCGTATAAGGATTGAGAGAGAGAGAGAGAGAGATGTGTGCGTATTCAAGCTAAGACTCTGTGTTATATATTCAAGCTTCAAGAACAGCCGGTTGATCTCCTCCGTCTTCTTCGTCGCTGAGAGAGAGAGAGATGTGCGCGAAATTTGCACGATGCAAAAATAAGGGTTTCATAAAGGGGCGCGTGTACTTATAGCATTCGGAGGCGCTTTTAAACGCCTTCAATTAGAAACGGTGCCGTTTTGATTTTAAAAAATATGCGACGGTTACAAAACACTGTTAAAAATTAGCAAACGTGACGTTTAATAAAACGCCGTTAATTAAACGCTGTTAATTACCTCATTTCCTGTAGTGTATTTCTTATATTTGTTGAGTTAGTTGCATGTTTGTGGTTGTGTTTTCCTCTCATAAATGGTTTAATTTGACATACATCTCATGCCTTTTTAATTTATGGGTACTTACGTTTTAATAGGTGGACTTATTATCCAATAAATCCTATGATGACTAATAACATTTTTCTTCAAACATTATTAAAAAAACGTTACTAATTGTTAATTTTCAGGAACAGTTTAAAAATTTTGCCACAAAAATTGTCACTAATTATAAGTTTTAGCGACAGTTTAAAAAAATTATCATAAAAAAGTTACTAATTTTCAACTTTCAACGAGAGTTTGAAAAATTTGTCATAAAAAGACGTCACTAATTATAAGTTTTAGCAACAATTTATACAAATCGTTGACAAAAAAAGTCACTAATTGTCAATTTTTAGCGACGTATGTAAAAAATTGTCACAAAAATTATTTTTAGCGACAATTTTATCGAGACTTATTTTCAATAGGACTTGATGTGAATTAAGTTTAACTATTAGGACCTATTGGTAGTTTATCCTAAAATTGTACTTAAATATATAACAAAGTTTATAAACAAAATAAAAAAATAAAAAAAAAAGATCAAAATAATCCAAACTTAAGTACCAAATAAAAAATTGAATAAATTGTAACAAAATATCACTTAAACATTACCCTTCTCATATTTTTTTGCTACAAAATTGCTAATCAAACTTACAAAATCTAACTTATCAACTAAATTATTTTCAATAGATAAAATTACTAGTCTATTCAATCTTTCTTGTGGCATAATTTACCAAACCAAATACAAACAAAAAAATTAAAATATTTAAAAATATTTTTATAAAATAAAGTTTGAATTTATTTTTATAAAATATTTTAAAATTTAAAAAATTAAAATCGTAATATTTTGACATTAAAATATTTAAAAATATTCAAAAAATTAAAAAATTAAAAAAATCCTAACATATTTAAATATTAAAATATTTAAAATCTTAACAAAATTAAAATATTTTTAAAATATTTAAATATTTAAAAAAATTTAAAAATTAAATCGAATTGAGTTTTGAACAGAGTTTTGAATTATGTATTTGGTTATGAGTTTTGAAAAGTAATGATTATGTTTTGAATTGAGTTTTGAGAAATGAGTGTAGAATTATGACTTGAAAGCTCAAAACAAACAACACACTCAAATCAATGGATAAAACTATAATTTAAGAGACTTACCAAACGATGCCTTCGTATTCCACTGACACCTCCTAACCCAAACGCGTCACTCTCCAATGGAACACAAACCCCCCATAAATCAACACAGCTGCATACAGCCTCCCTCTCATAAACATAAGAATAACCCACACCCTAAAAACAAAGAAAATTGTCCCTACATTTACCTCGTCGCATAAAATTGCAGAATAGCCGCCAACATCGCAAAACAACAAACAACCCAACAGACTTCTAGCAATCCAGAAAAATGGTTACCACGTTACAAGAAAAACAACATCAGTAACTGTAAAACAACATACACATGGAAATGTAAAACATTGCCCCCAACATCATTACCACACTTCAGCGAAAAGAAATCACACCAAATCCCACAAAAGGTATATATAAACTCTACACATGCCAAATCACAGGAAAATATTCCTTGCCAATTAAATAGGACCAAATGGTTCATAAGAAAAAATACAAGACTAAATGTATCAACATTCCCCAAATTGGGATTTACCGGAAATTTTTCCATAATTTTATCACATTTGTATGCAAAAAATATATAGTCTATTTTCAAAATTATTTTTGTCATTTATTTTTTGAGAGACATATATATTGGATTGACTTGATTTTTTGTATACATAATTTACACAGTAATCTAAAAAATAAATAATTCAAATAATCAAAATAAGATCCGTAATAAAACTTATAAATCCAAATAGTGCGGTGTAGTCAAGCTAGTGAATTGAAGACAATTTATCCCAATTAACAAATTTATCTCCAAAACATTTCGTGTTAATGTTACACATTTTATGGTAATGTTATTTATTTTTATGGTAATGTTATATATGTTTTTATTCAAATATTTTCTAACTAAAAAATATATAATATTATTACAAAAATACCTAATATTATGGGAGCATTACGTGTAGGCCTTAATAGATGAATTTATTGCTCAATAGGTCCTATGATAATTAATAACGTTTTTCATCAAACACTATTAAAAAAGTCACTAATTGTTAATTTTTAGCGACAGTTTAAAAATTTTATTACAAAAATGTTTACTAATGATAAGTTTTAGCAACTGTAACGCCCTCAAAATTAACCCATTATACATCATTGACATGCATTATTTAAAGAAGACAATTTATTAATTCATTCATCAGAGTATTACTAAATAAAGCATTACATGTATAGCAACTGTTTTAAAAAAAGTCACAAAAAAAG